GGTGTTTGTATTATTTGTGATCTTCAGCATCTGTAGCAGTTGCAGGTAACAGTTTTTTCCTCTCTGTTTTGAAGTCCCTTCGGTCTAATTTATTTTTATATAGCCTTATATAAGGTGCTTTGTCATGAAAGATTCCAAAGACCTCCTGACACAAATATAAAAATGTAGTTCTTTTTGTGAGAAGGCAGCAGTCCCATGTTGCCAGTTTCTCACATTCAGAAATGGTGAGTCTAAAATCTCACAACTTGTGGGGTTGGCTTGAGAAGTTAATTTTTCTTTGCTTTGTGGTGTTTTGTTTTTTTTTTAAAATAGAATGTTATTCTGAAGTAGATCTGACCTTAAAAAGGAGGAAAGCTTTCATTTATAGAAGAGAAAGGAAAGATGCTATGGGAAAACAAAAAAAAAAAAAAAAAAAAAAAAAAAAACAAAAAAAAAAAAAAAAAAGAGAAAGGAAAGGATATCTCAGCTGGCAAAATACTGCAGGTTTCAGGAATTCCCCAAATGCTGTAATATCTAAAGAATCAGCAGGAGAAGAAATGAAGCCATAGTATTTGGGCCTTCTGAATCTTTAACGCTTGTTCAGAGCACAAGAGTGCAGACTTAATTTCAGCAGATGCATTCCAGCATTGCTACTTTGTGCCCAGCTTGATTACCTTGTCTGGTTAAATGATGAAATTGCTCCTGTCTGCATTTGAGTGCTTAGTCCTTGTGTAGTGAAGGCTGCATTATTCTTGTGGCATGAAGCATTGTCCATCCAATTGGCATTATGTTAGTAATACTACATAGATACAGTCCTTAATATTTAAAATGTGTCACATAAATACTAAGAAAGCTCTTCTTATTAGCAATCCTCTTTTGAGTTAGATATAACTTCTCATATCTGTAGCTATTTGACTGTGCCAGGTGTCTGCCTCAGGCTGAATTCTGTGGTGTTCTTGGGTTTGTTTTCTCCTTTTAATGTCAACCATAGCAACTGTTATTCCTGAGAATTTTGCTGGAGAAAATCTCCCAAAATAAACCTGGTAGACTTCTTAAGGGCCTTAGCGTGACCTTCTCCTGGGAGAAGGCACTTAGCCATTAGTGAAGGGGTGACTGATCTGCTGGAGATGTGCTTTAGTGTTGGTAGATTCAGATGGAAAACCTTCCACGATATGAGTGATTTTATGATGAACATTTAAGTTTTACTTTAAGGCTTACCTTGTGCTTACAGAAACGAGTTAGAATATGATGTAAAATATGGCCACTCGTGCTTAATGACTTCAGCTCTGATGCCAAACCACCCAAATGTGTGCTGCTCCCCTCCAAAACTAGCAGCTCCTTCCAGCCCCAGTCAGGAATCTGTGTTTCTGGTAATAATACCAATGGTACTACATGCTTTAGCCATCTTTTCTGCCTGTGTTAAGGGTTTACCTCATTCATGTTTTAAAAAACAAACCATTAAGAAAGAACCATCCAAACAAAATAAACCCATAGTGAACCTTAACACTTGACTATGCTTTGAATTCCTGAAACAATTTTGCAAAGGTTACCAGAAAAGCAGATTTTTATCAGTAAACTTTAAGATAAGGGCAAGACAGATCTATCTTAATTTTTTCTATCTTAATGAATTTAACAGCGAGATACTTCCAACATGCTTAATGCATGCATTGTGGAAAGGGGACTTTGCTTTTCGGTAAGTACCTGTGTGGTCTCTTGTTGTCCAGTATCTCCCACCCCTGGCAGTCCAAGAACCTAAGACTGCAGCACATGCCTTCCTCCCTGCTGTGAAACCCCAGTGCACCCTGATGTGTGCCCCAAAGTGGTTCAGTTGTGCTTGCTGGTGTTCTGAGAGGCTTTTCTGCATTGTGCCTCTTCCACCAACCCAGAAGTTGCAGCCATTTGTCAGAATGACGCAGTAGATTGAAAATATGCTATACCAAAAACAATCATATGTGATTTCACTTCAGTTACAAGTTAGAATATTGCTTCTTTTAGTGGTATTTATACCTTCCGAAGTGAATACAAGGAAGTGTCTTTGTTGCAAAATTTCTCTGCAGTTTTTCTCTGGATTGATGCTCTGGAGAGTAGAGCAATTCCTAGGGAATTTGTAAGTACATTTCATCTAGTTTTATTTTCTTAACTTTGCACTTTTCTTTAAAAATCGGGTAGTTTCTCATTTTTTGAGCTTCTAAATTATATTGCTCATTAAATGCCTCCTGTTGTATGTCTATAATTCATAAAATATATAGTGATAATTTTCTTAGAAGAGAGTGCTTCAGTGTGCGTAGCATATATCTAGTGTTGTTGCCCTGTGTTTTACAACTGGTATATTATAGAACAAGCAAGAATTAAAAAAAATGAAACTAGTTATGTTCAGAAAATTATGCTTGCTGTATCAGAAGCTGTTGTTGTAGTGCTCAGTTCAGAGAAGTTTGCATACCTTATTGAGTGAGCTGCATATTTTTCTGGCTGAGGTGTGTACACTGTAGTCATTACGTTTTTGCACACTTCACTGACTGAGCTGCATGGGCTACTTCAACTATCACCAGGAATACTTGACTGAGTTCTGCTGCTTATTTGAGCGCTTCGGTTTGCGTGCTTTATTACTTCAGCGGTGTATGTTGATAAAGTTCTGTTCTGTGCCGTTAAATTTTCATTCTGCCAATCTAACTGTATGCCGTGCTGAGAGAGCTGCATGCATTGCTAACTGCGTACTCTGCGGTGAACACGAGTGGCTGAAATGTTATAATCTGCAGTGCTTTGTTAAATGAGCTGCATATTTTTGTTTTTGTATACGTTGCTTACCCAGTTGTGTACATTTGCCCTGCTCATTATACAAAATAAGCCTGATTGGAATAAGAACATTGTCTACCAGCTGTCTGCTCTGAGTCAGCCCGTAACAAAATTAGCAACTTTCTCTTTCCAACAGTGACATGATTGCATCCAAAGTTTAAGGCAATTGGTTTGGAGATCTTGTTTGCTTCATTCACTCTGTGCAAACATGGAGATTGACAAACCCATTTGTAGCAACTTAATTTGTTTTCACAAATATGAAAGAAGTTGAGTAACAGAGGAAAAACTCAGCACTGTAGTATAGGAAGATGCTTTCATGTAGGTTATGAAATGCATGCACGTGTGTATGTGTGTGTGTATATATATATAAACATACCTAAATGCAATTATCTAACTTAAAGCCTTATGTTGTAAGTGTAGGACAGAAAATAACTGGAGATCTCTTAAGATAGACATTTCATCAAAGAAATCATCATTTCATCAGTGCTGAAAATTACAAATATAAAGTTATATGAACTCTGTACTTCCACTAAGAGTTTATTTTTATAACTTATCTCATGGCTGTTACAAAAAACTCAAAATACTGCTAAATACCTGTAAACTCATGTGCATAGATATGTAGCTTGCTCATTAATGTTGATACAAAAGTGAATTAGCAGCTCTAAGAAAGTGTGTTTTTTTTTTTTTTTTTTTTAACTAGCTAACTTTGAGCCTTTTCCAGTAAAACCCACAGATTATTCTTAAATTTTGACTAATTTGCAGAGTTTGCATACGTAGCAGCTTGTGCTTCCATTTATGAAATCTTCAACGCTACCATGCTTCTAAAAACCTTTTTTTTCTTGAGTACAGAGATGCTTAATTAGAACTATATGTGTGTAGTTTGCCTGGATTCTTACCTGCCCCACATGCAAATGTAACTGTACCTGGATCCTGTTGTCAGTGTCCCACTGCTGACTGCTTTCACTTTAATGTTATAATTCACTGTGTTCTGAACAGACTGCCTGGAAGGTCTGTGTTTGTTTTTGTGAAATTTTACATGTGAAAGCTTAATTGATCTTATTGCTTCAGTCAGAATTGCTAGATTTCAAGCAGTGGCCACTTTTTTCTCAGCCTTCTTATGAACCATTATTTAACAATGTAAATATTATAATAGTTCACTGTAAAAATATATTTGTGAATATCTCAGGGCAAATATAATTTTTAGCAGTCTTCACTGACACCCGCGGAAAATAAATGTAGAGAGAGAAATACAAATGAAATGCAGTAGTATATCCTGGAACATCATATCAAAATTAATTTAGTGTTCATGTTTCAGTTTTTCTATGTACACTAATGTTGCATATCAGAGGCATGAGAAACCAGCTATATTGGATTTAATATCTGTAAGGTTAATGTAATACATGAAATGAGCTTGGTCTACTCCAGACTTTCTTAACAGAAACAGGATAAGTAATTCTGCATGAAGTGATTTACAGCAGACAGATGGTAGGGAAGAAGGTTTTGTCTTTTTTCTTTCCTCTGCATGAATTTACTTTTGGTATCAGTCCATTACCAGTGAAGATCTAGACTTTTCTCTTCCTTTGAACCGTTAAATGCCAGCTGTAGTCTCCCCAAGCTATCAGTATATACTAAGATGAGAATTGGGCTCTCATCACTACCATATTAAAACCAGTGATGGCTATGTGCAATTTCTGATGTATAAGTGTTCTGTGTAGTTTTTACAGAAGAGAATTCTTTCTTTTGTCAGACAGAATGAAGAGAAATAATCTTCTCTTAGGGGGAAAAGAATCAGAAGTTTTTATTTTTCCTGTTGCTGTGTAGAAATAAGAATCTTTAAGAGATGAAGCAGTTGAAAGGTTTTTGTGAGATCAGTTTCCCTGTCTGCCTACTTTCCACTAAGATCTTCAATAGATAAACTGGACTTGCTTTTCTGTTTTTGAATCTGAGTAACCTATTTGTTTGTTTTGATAGGATTCCTACCAGAAAACCAAGTGTATTAAATTCAAGTTTACTTTCAAAGTACGTTACTGCTGCGAGATGTAAAATGTAGGCTATCAAAACACTAGGAATACACTGTGTTATCTGAGATCTATGGAGACTAAAAGTACTTCAAAGCATAAGATACATATCCATTCTATATTTTCTGTATGTTTTTATGCAGCTGGTATATACGAAAAATGTGTAGAGTATTTCATAATTTATAACTGAGATTTATTTCCTTTTTCTAGAGAGTAATTTTCAATGTCGTCAACTTCAGTAAAACAAAAAGCCTCTATAGAGATGGAATGGCTCCAATGGTGAAATCCACAAGCAGACAAAAATGGTGAGTTATCATTTCAAAGGCTTGCTTATTAGGAGAAAAAGTGTTTTACTTGGGATTCTTTTGTAGTGAAGACCTTCTGGCTCAGGTGTAGCTTTTAGTAAGAGTAGGAATGAACTTGAATGTATGAGCAATGTTGTGAGAATAGGGTTCTCTTTGGTGCATGTGATCTGGATGAATTCTAGAGGCCTCTTCCAGCTTTGCTGTGATGATGTTTTAGCATCTTGTTCCAATAAGTGTGACTGAAGATATGTCTGTTTGAACACATCGAACAGTGGGGGCTCTGGCTAAATTGCTGCTTGGTAATCTCCTCACCATCCAGCTGTGAGCATGGTCTCTGGCTCTGGTTTGGCTTGTTTAACATTGCACTCTCCCAAACGCTTGTAAATGCTATGAGGTAAACAGAATTTCTAAAAGGCTTTTTGGGTTTGGTCCCCTTCTTTTTGAGAAGTTGCAGTTAAGAGTATGAACTCTGCCCTCTGAGATGACTTCAATTCAATAAGCAGTATTTGCTCTTCTATATATTGACGTAGATGCAGCTGAAAACACCAGAAGGTCAAACAACTTGGTCATAAGTTAGGCAGTATATACAACATGGAAAATCATGCAGATATGGAACACAAATAGATGGTGCATTTTTTTTTTTTTTAGACCAACTGTAATGAAATGTCTACTGTGAGTAATATGTAAATCTAATGAGTCTAAATGTATGCAAGACTCTCAAGAATTATATAATTTGCCTTTAGCAAGATTTATTTGAATATGGATAGTGAGGTTAGACCACAAGTGTACAGTAACATATTCTTGAAAGTCTTTACTGGTTAATTATTAATCTGTACGTAATCTTAGTCTTATATATACATGTCTTCCTTAAATACTTGAACAATCAGAAAACTTGAGTTCACTGGGTCTTAACTTTTGTGACCATGAGATCGCTTCTTCTTTGTCTGACCAACAGGTAGGGCTATTTATATTTTTTTAAATTAGATGGAAAGGTCACCTGGACAGAAAAAACCTGCCCTGGAAACAGGTAGCAGTTGGAGTCAATTTCAGCTCAATAGGTGTATGTAATAACACTGAAAATTAATTAAGAAAAAATTCATTGTTTTTTTTTTTTTTTTGGTAGCAAAAATCATGTTACTGTTTACTATTTAATTTCCAAAAAGCCTTTGTGGGGTATTTTGGGGAAACATCAGACTTACTTTAATCATATTTCAGAACCTTTTCTTTCTCTCACTGGAGTCTGGTATTTGCAGCTAAGTATATTTTGTGTTAAGTCTATATATAAATCAGATATTGCTTTCATACAAATTTTATGCCTTACTTTGGTTTCAAATTAAAGTGTAAATCTTACAAAACAATGCAAAATGGGGTTTTTCTAGAACATATAGGCTCCTTCACTATTTTTAAAACTGATTTCTCCTTCACTTCCCAGGAGATCTATTTATTTTTGTGTTTTATATTTTTAGGGGGATGTATTTTGCTCCTATGAAAGTGAGGAATGAATAGCATTGCCTGGAGCCATGCACAGTGTGCAATGCAGCTTCCTTTTACAGGGCTACAACCGTACTTTAATCCTGTTTCAGAAATTCTACCTCTAATTTCTTTCTTTAAAAAAGATAATTATTGCATTAAAATATCTTTTCTTTTTCTAATAGCCCAGGTGCGAAAACTTGCTGTACCTTGAAGGTGTGAATTAATTCATACCGTTATCAGGGCCCTCAGTGATATTGGGGTCTCCTCAGTGTAATTGGCTTGATGTTATAGGAATTATATGTATACTTTTCAAGAGGGAAAACACATAGTTTATTTTTGAATAAATGCTTTCTATTAGACCTGCCTTTCATGTGGCTTGTGCCTCTTGCAATTGCTTCTTTATCTGTTTCCATGGTGTTCTAATGAAATCTGTAAATAAAATTTTCTGTTTCTCTACTGAAATGAAATAAGATTTCCATGTACATGCAGTGTACAGGTAGTTGTGGTGCTTGAACACGAGTAGGGCAACATTTGGCTTGCATTGATTTGGTCTTGTTTGATGCTTCTTATGAATTAATCTAGAAAGCAGCACTGAATTGAATTGTTTAATGCTGCTGAAGTACTGAGGTTTACATGAACGTCCTCAAGATTCAGAGTTGTTGAAGAGAAATACTTAGAACTCTTCACCTTGTACTAAAAATTAAACATGCATAGTGATTTAGTAAATATAATGTAATTTGGTAGGAAAAGCAGATATTAATTACAGGAAGTTGAAGAAGCACAACATATTAAAAAGAAATTAAAAAAATAAAACTGCTAGAAGCCGTGTTCTACAGATTTTCCATAGCTTCATCTCTGAACTCTCCTGTACTAAATATTTTAGGAACTCACCATTATTGTGCCTGCCTGTGGAGGCATGTGATACATACTGAAATTCTTCTAACTTTCTCTAGCCACACAGACAAAAGCAATGGTGTGTCATACACAACTCTTCTGCCTTTTTAAATACAATCAGGTCTGAGTTTTATGATGGCAGTATCTAATATTTGTTTTGCATTGGAGCAGTGTTATGCCCTTCTTACTGAAATAAAAAATCCTGCTGTATTCAGGATAGAATTTGACCATATAGCTTGCAAAATCCTCTGTATCAAAAGCAGATTGGCCTCCAGAGACAGTGAATTTTAATGTTTGTTTCGAGTGTGGTTATGTGAACATGGCTCCGAGCTTTGCGTTGTTTTGCGAGTTTGATTCTTGACTCTGGAACAAATCATTGCCAAGTGCTCTTGAAGTAGAGTGTGTCAAACACAGATCAACATTTTTGACCTGTATTCTCTTGCCCTGTGGGGTAAAATCTTTAAATGCAGTCAGCATCAAGGTTTAGCTCAGTGTTAGTGATGTAAATGGGGTATATCACTGTCATCAAAGCACTCTGTGTGGACACAGATGTTCTGGTGTTGACATATTCTTCTCTTTTGAAGTAAGGCCAAACATTTCCAGTAATGAGCTACTTAAAAAGGGGAAGCAGTATGCTGAATGATAAGGAAAAACCAGATTTCATGGTAAAGAATAAGATTATTTTTAAAAAAGAAAACCAGAAAAATGATTTAAAAGATATGCATTTCCACTGTAAATGTTAATAGATTTACTGAATGCTTATTCACAAGAAATAGAGGCAGAAAAATAGAAACAAGTTCTGTGTCTCTATTCTCGTTTTCCTGGATGTTTTTTTTTTTTTTTTTCTGTGGGCATGCTAGGTTGTTACTGAATAATATAGGGTTGTGTCAGTTACATCAGTCAGATCTCACCACAGTGAATCACAGCTCATACATAGAAATGCAGTGCTGTCACACCGTGTTACATCAGTTACATTTCAAGATGAAAATCAAGGCTTTATTTCAAGCCAGTGGAATGGGCCGTGTATGGTCACTTAGCATTTCTGCTGACAATTATCTGCTAATCTGGAATTATTAAACTGAGATTTTGGGTAAATAGTGTTTCTTTTTTTTTTTTCTTCCTTGATAATGACTACCTCAAATATAGAGGATTGCTGTAACACACACCTGTTCTGTTTGGGTCTTTCTGATTTGTGGAGGTGAACAGTTGAGGTCGAGGTGGGTTACTGTAAATTGCATTTTTGCTATGCTGATGCAATTTTTAGTGTAATCTCTCTTTAATGCTTCATTTTAGTGTGATCTGTTTTGGTTGTGGCTTCTTAATCATTTCAAACTGAAGTCTCTATTCTTAGGAGCTATTAAAATCTATCATGTGGGCATGGCTGTGGAAGACTGTTTAAGTACATATACCACATCATTATATTTATTCTATGAAGTTTTACAACTTTCTCAAAGTGAAATAGAAGAGTGACTTGTTAGAGAGGCAGCAGATTTTCCAAATGATGAAGTGAGCAAATATTCCCTTTGGGCAGAGAACAGCTATAACTCTTGATTATTCAATATGAGCATTGCCTCATTGGGGACGTTAGTTTTTTTTAAATTGTGCTAATCTTTTAAAAGTAACAACTGGCCACTCATCACCTTAGGTATTTCAGCAAGATCATGTGCAGAAGTCTAATTAGTATTTATAGAACAGCAGCTCATCCCAGTAGAATAGTAGTGGTAGCTGGCAAATATCTGGTTGACACCTGTTAAGTCTTCAGACATCCATTGTATTTTATTCTGTATTTTAAATGAGCAGAGAGCAGTAGGTGAATTCCCCATAATTAAGGGACAAAGGATAATAAATAACATGGTTCTTGAGTGGATGAACACAAGGTTAAAGGCTGCTCAGCACTTGTGATACTGCATTTCAGCAAATGTTTGTATGTAAGTAATAATGCTAGCTCAAATGCTATGTAGGCTACATCATACAAGAGAAGATTTATGTCTAGATTTAAATGTGTTTTGTTTATAATGTCAGATTTTAAACTGCTTCTTGGCAAAGCCGTTACTTTCTTTCCCGTCTTTTATCTCACTTAGCACTGATAGCTTTTAACTGGATAGCTGCCTTTGCCAGCAAGCACTCCACTACCTCTGTTGCTATAACGTCTACTGTTAAATTCTCCTAACACATTGCTTCTAAAGTGTATTCCTTTTGCAATAAACCTGGAAATACAGAAAAAAATCTAGGTAATTAATTCAAATTTGAGAGTATATGCAACTTGGTAAATATTGTCATGATGAAGAATTTTGGTAGACATGGAGAACAGCAATGCAAGTTTTATGAACAATACTCCCATATGTTCCATTCATCAGAAGGGGACAAGACTGAGAAAATCTGCATTTTGAGTAGCTAAAACGTGTTGTTTCTTGCCAAGTTTCTTTAACATTTGTCTACAATGCAGTGTTACAATCACTACCATGTCTATCAGGCTGCATTATACATTCAGAGACTTCCAACAGCGTTTTTAGTATGTATTTATATATCTTTAGCCATAAGATAAGCTGTTTGTGGAATGAGCTGTCGCTTGTGGTGGAACAGTTTGAGAATAAAGCACTAAATTTATATACGGCTTGCTAATCTGAAAGACT